TAGATGGTTGTTGCCAAAACGAGTAACATTGCAAGAATGGCGAAACGAATCGGAAAAATTGTCAGCGCCGAAGCAGAAAACACTGAAGATCCAGAACTTCGCATGAAACTTGAAACGATGTCGAGAAACGTCCAAGACCGTAAGAAATCCTTTACGTAACCTTAAGTTGAAATTGAGTGGGTTATGTTAATGCTGTTTTGCTTTCGTAGTGATCTCACCGCTCGCTATTGAAGCGAAATCTGTCGTATCAAACATCAAAGACCGTCAAGGACACGGAAGATTGAGRGCAGCTATGAGACGGGTACGTTAGTGGTTACGTAAAATCATATGCGTATAAGTCGCAATGTAAAAAGACGTGCGCACGTCTGCGTACGTAGTTACGCGTAACAATAGCAAGGTTAACGTTGTTTATTGATTTCATATTTTATCTTTATTTCAGTTACAAAAYAATGTTTCCGATATTAGAAAAGTTTTTATCGACCGCGCAAGTCAGTCTGAAGAAGACGATTTCCCCCCACCCCCTCCTCCCCCACCACCACAGATGGAAGACCTCAGTCTTTCAGAAAGTAAGTATCTGATATCACACTCCCTGTTTCCCATAACAACACTAATGTACGCATTCTTATACTTTGAAGGAGCTCCACCCCGACCCCCACTCCCACGGGAAGAAACGACTCAAGCTCCCCCTCGCCCTCCCCCACCGGTTATTGAGCCTGCTGTCGATATGAATGTCCAAAACATGCTCGAATGCCCTCCTGAAGACAACAGAATTGCGGTATGTAGTCACTTAATAACTCGTGGACTTACTGATAATAGGAGACAAAACTCGTGGATATTAGTTGAAAGGAATATTATCACTCGATCACTCACTGTAACACTGTAAACATTTTTTAAATAATGGACATTCTTTAGTGTTAATTATGATGGAGTTCGAACTTCAAATTTTGATTTTCACAGATGGCAGCAAGCAATCTCCATAAAGAAATTCTTAAGTGGGAGGAACAAGGCAACGATATGATCCAAGCAGCCAAGAAGATGGCTATTTTATTTGCGAAAATGTCAAAATATATGAGGTAATTTAGATCTAGCGTTTTGTAGTACATGAGTGCGTTGTTTTTTTTCTTTTCCAGCGTTTCTTTTTATTTTTACACAAACTTCATTTTCTTTTTCCCCTTTCTTCTGTATCATTCATTCTCTATTCCTTTCGACTTTTCCTAGAATCTCTCCATTTTTGTATTAATTTCTGTTCAATTTTACTCTATTTTCAGAGACGAGGAGGAAGGTCAGCCCCATTCAAAGAAAGAACTTATCGAATTAGCAAAAGAAATTGCAAATGCCAGCAAAGAGATTGTCAAACTTGGTCATAAAGCATTTGACAAGTGCAATGACAAGAGAYTGAAGTCGGTGGGTGATTCTTATTGTGTCTCAGACTTTCTTAATTATCTAAAACCCTGTTTACATGAGATAGGGTGGCTAGCTCTTTTTCTTTCTTTTACCTGAAGGATTTAAAACAAAGGATTTTGGCCCTACCACTAGGGGCACCCTATCTCAAGTGAACTGGATCTAAGAACGGCGATTCTTAAATTAAAATATCGTATTTCTGAGCACCATTTGTGTTGACGGTCATGTGTTGTTAGCCTCCTTTGCAGCCGTCTGTTTCGTCACGTTAAGCTACTTTGTGTGACATTGACAGACGTGAATGAAGTCTACTGTATATATGAAACTTTTTCTTTTTGTCACTTTAGAACATGCAGCAGACGATTGACCGAATCCCAACCATYAGTACCCAACTAAAGATCGTATCAACTGTCAAAGCCACTATGATTGGTTCGCAAGGTAACGCAATACTTGTCCGTGATAAAGTAACGCAATACGCACCTGAACAAATTTGATCATGAATACTAATAAATCATTTGCTTTTAGAACTCGAGGAGGATCGAGAAGCCACTGAAACATTGGTCGGCTGTGCCGARAACCTCATGAGTGCCGTGCGACAGACCGTCCGAGAGACCGAAGCAGCCTCGGTGAAGATGCGAACTGACGCTGGTCTCGTGATGCATTGGAGAAAGAAACACTGAATGACGTACAGAACATACGGGAGCTTTCATGAAATTATGATAATTTTCTAGACTATCAGTTTTCCCGCCTTTTTGGAAAATGTTGCGCGCGCGCGGTTTTTATGGAAAGCAGGGACTGGTTATATGAAGGGTCCCCCCGGATAAAGTTTTCAATGTGATGCATTTTGAGTGAATTTTCTCTGCTGCATAAGGATTTATCCGGGGGACAAAGCTATTCACCCATCTTACAACCCGCCCCATTTAAATTGTGGATCATATCTGTGGGTGCGTAGGTATAGGATTTTCCCACGCTTTGAGATTTGTAATATTCGTGTTATCAATCTCTCTTGTAAGTGGTTCCTAGGACCGACTTGTCAATCAGTGTTTACTAGATTTTCACAAAAGCGTTTAATATAAACTCCAAAACATATTTTTCCAATAAACTTATACAGGTAAATATTTTTCCATATAGCAATACAATAATTTGTCAACATGCACTTTGTCGAATGAATTTTTGAATGGATTTTATAGGTATATAAAAATAACAAATCAAAGCGAACACAGGAAACCCGTGAAAACAAGGCAATAGGAGACTGGCAATATGGCAATAGGCAATGTTCATCGGCGTCATTTTGTGCAACAAAGCATTTTAATATTGCATCCGTTCAAATATTCTCTTAAATCTATTTTTCTGCTTTCCAAAATGTGCACAAAATCTTGGACTTCAGCAAATATCACGAAAAAAAAATTGTGTACTATTAGCGAGCATAGCAAAGTGCGAAGATCGATATCTTCCAACGTGTTTTGTCGTCCAAAATGGAGTCCTGCACATCTGCTAATTCTATAACGTTCTCTGCGTTTGACTACGAGAATTTATTTCACAGGTTTCTTGTGTCAAGTCTGAATCAAGTTTATGATGAGCCGTATTTCTAAAGTAATCTTAATTAGGAATTTCTATTAAAATTTTGATAAACTAGAAGTTGTATCATCGATTTATGGGATGGGAAGTTKCTTCTGTTAGATCGTTATACGATTGAGCCTATATTTTTCGATTCCCATGCCTATGAACTTACAAATACAAGCGCGTTACTCTTGGCCTATTACACAGCCCCTTTGTGGGAAGAGAAGCATTATAGAAAACAAACGAGCGGCTTCACTTTACTCGTCTTTTGCRCAAAATGCTTCCTTCTACCCTTGATACATTGCGCGCGCAATAATGAAATCTTTAAGTAGACAACATGTTACACCCCTGAACGTGAATTATCAAACCACAAAACGTTTCATTACAATAAACGATTCTTGATTGTTATACAGATAAAACCTTATTTACAATGAATCAACATCATGTTTTAGTTCCCTTATTTTGTAATATTAATATGATAACTTGTGAGAAAAGCTTAACAAGTCATTTTTTGTTGACAAATTCACTTTTCTTGACATTTTGGATACGTTTTCCTTGCAGTAAGTCTCCAAGAAACGCGATTTTTTGATTTTTTGTTGACAAATTCACTTTTCTTGACATTTTGGATACGTTTTCCTTGCAGTAAGTCTCCAAGAAACGCGATTTTTGATTGTCGCTGTTTTCAAGACGAGGTTGACCCACACAAGCCCTGCTGCCTTAAGCTTTTCCAGGTTTTCCAGGTCAATCACATGAATCAAAAGAAATCATGTGCTGTAAAAGATGTTATGTTCCTTTTATCTACGCCTTGTAGAGCGTTTCTTGCTTTTAGCGGCAAATCGAGGGAAGTGCTCTTTCAAAAGGTTTTCAAACTCCTTGCTGAGTCTATCACCGGCTTGTCCTTCCTGCGTTGAAATCTGGGAATAAAACAACACAGTAGTAAACCTGTGTAATGCGGACACCTTGACATTAAGGACACTCAAATAAACCCCCTATTACTCCATGAAAATAGCTCTCTTAACTGACAGCGAACACTTGCTACCCTAAACTTGAGTCTTTGGGGATACCCCGATATTACGAACACCCCGTTATAATGGACATTGAACTAACAGTCCTGCTCCAAATCACTGAAAATGACTCCCTTTACAACTGACACTCGCTATTGCGGACACCTGGAGTGTCCGTTAAAACGAGGTGACTGTAATTATCTACAGGGGCCGGGTTGTTCAARCCCGATTAGTGTTAATCCAGGGTTAACTCCATAGGTTTTGTAAGAGTTAACCCAGGATTAGCGCTAATCGGGCTTCGAACAACTCTGCCCAGGAAACAATCTTACAATGAATCAAATCTAAAATTTATAGAAGCATATTATAATGAGCTTACGTGGTTGTACTTGTCACAATTCTCAAARACAAGCCTCATGTCTCGAACGAACAGTTCAGCATCACTGTACTCTAAKAATTCTAATCTCTCTTTGATGGTTTTAAAATCCATTGGC